CGCCGCCCGCACTTATAAGCTGCCCCAAACGGACCCAGAGACTATCTTTTTCTTTGGTAAGCCAGTTGTCGTTATTGTGCCCTATTGCTGATAGAAAAATGGTGAGGATAAAACACAACACTACACTTGAAGTCCTTAATAAGCTTTTGAATGGAATATCAAGTTAGTAATTAATTTAGATATATGAATGACTTTTCAAAGTGCAAGTTATTTATTTATAAGAATATCTCTTTAACTGGTTACAATTATTAAGGATCAGTCAATTATGATTATTATTATTATTATTTTTGCTTTGATAAGAGAAATATAAAATAAATTTATGAAATGAGTTTTTTACATGATTTTTAACTCTAAAATCAATAACCCGGGAATTGAAAATGGTCATCTTTGAGACATTAAAGGTCTAGGAAGGGTTAAGACTCGAGAATGAGTGTGCGCATATTTGTTGTATATGTTTTTTTTTCTGGTGTTCCTAGCAAGCTTTTTTTGTCTTTCAATGCCTTGTAAACGACCAAATTTTCTTTTTTTTTTTAAACAACTTGCTAACCAATTGTTGCTATTTAAGTAGTTCTTTTCATTCAACCAATATATTGAATGAATATTTTGCAACTCTTCCATTTAATTTAAATTGTATTGCTTAATTTTAAGAGAACTTTTAAGGTAATGGGTATTATTATTATTATTCATGTGGAAGAAAATTGTAATTTTCTTTTTTGGAAAAGAAGAAAAAAATGGAAAGAAGCAGGACAATGCAACTTTGAGGGTTATAAATATAGGACCAGTTTGCGGCAATATAATGATGACGTTGCAACAATAGAAAATGTTTTTGACAGGTAGAGTTGTGAACAAATTGAGTCGGGCTTAGTTAGAGGCTATTTGTGTTTGAGCTCCCTTACCAAAACTATGTTCGAGCACAATTCAAGCTTGATTCGAGCATTTGTGATGGTGTTAAAGCCAAATTTGTTTGAGCTTGGTTTAAGCTCTACTCAAATTTGATTTATTATTTTATTAACAAGCTTAAACAAGCAGCTTATTTGAAAACATAAGAGTCTTGCCTAGACAAGTCTATTGAGTTTTAACTAGCCAGTCTTATTAAAGCTTAAATAATGAAAGCTTAATTTAAGAAGTTTTAAACCTTTTGAAACTTTATTAACATTTTTTTTAAAATATGATTTCAAATAGCTTCTCAAAAGGCTTCATCGGTTACAGGCTTAACAAGTTAGTTTTTTACAACACAATATCAACAACAACAGACCTTTATCCTACTAAGTAGGATTGGCTACATGAATCTTTTTTTCTCTATTGTGTCTTAGTAAGTGTCATGTTTTCATTTAATTCTAATAAATTAAAATCATTTTTTATACAACATGCCCAAGTCTTTTTAGGTTTATTTATACTTTTCTTAGCATAGAGTCAAATCTAAAACATTAGTTCCTAGTGAAAAATAGATGGAATCAACATTCCCAGAGTACACCTAAAGGAAAATCCAAGCTGATCCCGCTGAAGAAGACACTAGTTCCTAGTGAAAAATAGATGGAATCAACATCCCCAGTTCTATCCCCGTCAGGAAGTTTTTCAAGTGCTATGCATTTGGGTATATTAAATCAGATTGCACAACCAAGAGATAATCCCTTTCACGGATCATGGAGCAGTTGAAGAAATGAACGATGATATGGTAGACACGAAAGAGAGCAATGGCACAATGGAGGAGTACTAGTTGTCAGCCAACAAGGAAGAGACGTCATTGATTCCAATTGAACCTAGAAGAGAGATTTTGGTTGAGTTAATAGTAATTGTTCTAGAAAGTAATGAGTTTGATATAATGGGTATTCATGCAAAATATGAGGTTATAGTTCCGCAAACTATATTTTTGCAGACTTTCGGAGGAGCATCAGCGAGATTGGCATTGGATAACAAAAAGAGTCATGAGTTTAAGGAGCTGATACTAAACACAGGGTAACATCAGATTAGAAGATTTCAAACATTTTCAGATATATAACCTACCTCCTGAGTTGCCCCTACTGAGGGAGTTTCAACTCACCAAAGATGAGATTTTGAGTTTCTTCTGGAAGATTATATGGTGTGTACCCACCAATAGGTGGCCATTTAGGAGGGATGAACCACAACTTCGGAAATTGTCTTAGGAGCTCGGTGAGAAAGAAAATTCTTTAATGAGATCTAGGTCCTATCAGAGTAGAAAAGAGGTATCTCCTGCGTGGTTGTTAATGAGTGTTTTCCATTGTGTCATGGATTTTAGTCCAGATTTAGTTCCTTGAGACGAATTTGTTTATCAAATACACTCTGCCAAGTGTGAGGAGTGGAATAGGAAAAATTACGTATTTAATGGTTCGGGAGTTGCTTCAGAAAAATCTATGTCGATATACGGCTCTAGCTCAAGTTGTGTCAAAAGATGATAAATATTTATTCTATCAGGGTGTGCTTTGGAATGATAGAACCCGTAGGATTGACTTACCAAGAGATTACGTCATTTCTACTATCTTCATTTGGGTTGATTTGATGCTATACTACAATGAGACAGAAGCATCGACGGATAATGTCAAAATTCTTCCAAATCTTGGAGACTGACATCGAGCGAGACGTGCAGTCATCGAAGCCTTAACGTCGGAGGGGTGTAGAAATCGTGCGATTGATGTGTGATGCAGAAAACCCGATGACAAAAACATATCCCGCATGACATGGATCATGGAAGCGGGATCGCGTCCCGCACGCAATCGTTTCCGCGGAATGCATTTTTTTCTCTGGACCGAACCGCTTCAGGTTTTCTTCATTTAACAATTGAGTATTTATAAAAATAATTCATGATTATTTAATTGTTTAATCAAACTAACATGAACGAGCTGTTATTGAGCGAAGCCATGGAGTAACTTATCAAACGCTCAGTTTAGTTGTAACCCTAATGAAAGTGCAGTGAGTACTGATGAAGGTTGCAATTATAGATAAAATAGCGTAAAGGGAAGCGAGTGCAGCAGTGAAGATCATAGCATTGTGGTGATAAAGCAATAATGGCAATAATGAAAATACAATGAAGAAAATCCTAGAGCTTTGATAGCATTATAACAATGGGAGATAATTGATTGTGTATTTCATTCTTAACATTTCTTTAGAATTTCTACAATCCTAGTAGAGCTTCTACAATTTTTTTGAGAAATCATGAAAGCTCTCATTTTTATTGCTAAAATATTACCTCATAGTCTATTTAATATAATCATCTGAAATAATCAAACCATATTGTTTTCATCACACCATTGTACTAATTGGCCAAACAAATTCATATATAAAAGTTGTAAGTGGTATGAATATGAAAACAGTATTGTTGATTGTGAAAATAGTATTGTTGCATGCATCACGAAGATGATCCTCTTCAAAATCAATTTTTGGTAAGCCATTAAAAAGATTATGATGTGAAATATTCCTGATGGTGTATAATGCATATTAGTGTCCCCCATTCCGAATTTCGGGATGATTAACATGAGGTTTGAGCATCTGAGTTAATTCTTCTATAATATTCACTCTATATTTCTAGTCGTGCAGCGATAAAAATCAGAATTAGACCAACTATGTTATATACTGTGGATTCTAATGTTGTGCATTAAAATTCACCAATAGTGAAGTTGGATGCAACAACCATGAAAATGTTTACATGTATTATAAAATTAAGAATGATGAACTGAGAGAAAGGATTATAATGGTGTGATTAGTGTAGTGGCAGCCATTGAAGAAAAGATAATGAAGAAGATATTGAATTGATTTGGCTACATATAACAGAGTCGTTTATGAACCTGGTAAATACACATCAGGGAGAAAAAATGATAGATGAAAGGTAACGCGACTAGAACAAGTGCAAAAAGATTTAGGTGGAATTAATTTTAAGGAAGATTTACTTACCACTCAATTCTTATGTATTTACATATCTAAAGCCTAAACTTCAATTATTACACATATGCCGTATTGCCATGCATGAAAAGCTGTATATCACTTTTTAATAGTTAGCATATGGTATTTTTTATGTGATTTCAAAGATTTAGGCTGTATAACTGTAAAAAAGCAAAGTTTAGGTGCTAGATGTGTAAATACATAGGAATTGGTTGTATGTATGTAAATGTCCCTAATTTTAACCGCAGCATCAGAAATGGCAAATGAGGTTTCATAAACCTCCCGAATTCCTATAAAAAAATAAAAAGAAACACTGGAGAAGCATCAATTTAATGGGCAATTTCACATGGCAGATAATGCATTTGCTCATTTTGCTTGAAAAACAACCATGACATGCTATATTAGATGTTCTAATCCATTAATGTCATCAATTACTGCTAATTATTTGTTTCTTATTGTTCAAAACAGGTTCATTTGTTGTACGTATAAAAGCTTGACTTGCGCCGAATGATGCCTTGTTTAAGGTTGGGAAGAAGGCACAGATTTACATACATACCATTTAATTTTTATGCCTTTACATGTTTAATAACTAAACTTTAGATATACATATATATGTGTACACACACACACACACACAACAAAATATATGCTTGAAAGGTATATTTCTCTTTTAAAAAATATGAATTATATTTTTGATGTGATGTGAAAGATTGGGGTGCTACATACATAAATATTAAAATTTAGGTGTTAGATATGTAAATATTATTAACTTTGTGGTATGTATGTAGATGCTATTTTTTTTCTTTGTATTATATACTTAGCTGCCGTGTCCTTATCAGTAAATGCCACTCAAATATTTATTAATGATTTTTAACTAAATCGTGTCGCTTGCAGGGATCATATCAGCTGTGTGAAGTTAGTCATTTCATGTAAATTTGTTGGATGCCTAAAGCTTGCAGCAGCAGACCAAGTGAGATTTTCATCCATGTGATTGTTCTTATCACCTTTCTTTACATTGTTATGATTCCTCTAACTTAAATTGCTTAATCTGATTAACTTTACTTCAAACCTTAATCATTATAGTCATATACTGTCATAATAACTAGTTTTGGCTGGCTTTAGGAAGTTCTGGCACTATGTGATTAGGGAGAGAATATTAGAACTCCATTCGGGCACTAAAATAAATACTGGTATAATATGTACAATATGTACAACATTGTACTCATAATTTTTGTGATGTATGGATGTAATTTTATGTTCGGATTTCGCACGTAATATTTTACCATTATATATTTTAGCCTTTAATAGGTTATTTACATTTGAATGGTCAAGTTTTTATTATTATTATTATTATTATTAACTCAAATTAACAAGGTCTCATAATATGTATGTACATACATATTATATATAACTGGTGAATCCTAAAGGGATTCGTTTTGTATGAAAGACCTGGCTCATTGGTGCGGAAGTCCCTCAGGTCGGGGGTTCGAATCCCGTGACGCGGGCTCTTCGAATCTGAATCAAGCACACTGGGTTTTCAATTCATATGAGAGGATTGATATTTGGTGTCCACTTTTAGGGGCTTTTTGAAAATTTTCAAGTTTTTACATATATATATATATATGCTTTATATTTTTATTTTTGAATCATAAAATAAATTAATTTATCTTCTATAAATACTCGATAACTTCTAGATGAGTTGATAAAACAGCGGACATCACTTTGACGGAAGAATCATATTCCTGGCCTTATCCTTTTCAAAATGGGGGGAAATGCTTTATTGCAGTTACATTTAGCTAAAATAAGATGATTTTTTTTTAGCCATAAAAAATGAGAGATTTAATTACTAGAAAATATAAAATATTATAATTGATTGATTTATATTAAAAAGGGCAGTATGCAATGTCAGAGACTATATTTTTTGCTTCGTAACCTGTTATTTAGCATTATCCAAAGGCGTTTATTATTTATTTTATGGCCATCGATGATTTTAACTTTTTGCACTTCCATGCAGTCCCCTGACATTATTTATACGTCGTGATGTGCACATGAATTGGGAGTGGCTTGGGATACGCTGAGTTGCGTCTGGGCGATGGCCGTGATACGGTAGAGGTCGATGTTATAGCACGGTTGTTGCCCGGACGCAGCTCGGCATCCGGACGATAGACATAATAATCTCTCATTGGGATAAGTTTTATTGGTTTTGAACTTATTTTCGGTATGCGATATTATTACAGATTTAATTAACTATAGAATATATTTTCATCAATAAGCCAAAGCATTTATATGCATAGTTTATTGATTTGAATGATTAACTTTATATATTGTGAGAAATTAGACAACAAATAAGTTAAAAGCTATAAAGAGACTTGTACCCTCATGGCACATAATTCTTATGTATCTAGCACCCAAATTTTTTATATTTTGTTAAGAAATTTAGGGCAAAGAAATGAGGATCGACACAAATTCAGAAGAAAACATAGAGATTTAATGAGGTCGGTAAAGATGTCTATATTCTCGGGAGCAAAGTGATGATTTTTCCTTCAATTCAGAAAAAGAGTACATGATACAAAATTAAGCCCTAGCATTACAAACAGGCATATATATAACCCTGGAGTGTAATATGTAATTACAAAATTATCTCTGTACCGTATTGTGTGGGTGTTGCCCCGTATTCCCAACTCACATAACGAAAAAATTTCTCCAATTGAACAGATATTTTCGCTCCGCTCCAGGATCTGTCCCTTATATGGTATGAGTCATACCTAACATATTTAGATACATAAAATTTAAATTCTGAGCATAATAAACATTAATAAGTTTTTTTTAAAAGTAAATACATATTTTCATTAATAAATATAAGACATTAAAGTGTTAAATATCAAACTTCAGATATCTTATGTGGTATGTATGCAATCTTTTCTACAATATTAAAAAATTAGAAAGAATTCAAATGACATAAAGAAAATAAGTACAAATGTTTGATTCAAAGTTCAATTCCCAATGCGGCACGCACATCCAGCATGCATGCAGCTGGCTTCCAATTTCATACCATTCAAAATATCACTAGTAAAAAAGAATTATCCAAGTTCTAGATGAGGTCCAAAATACTTTTTGGGCAGTTACCTGAAACATCGCTGTTTACAAATCTACTCAATTTCACAAAATCTCACTTAAATATCAAACATATAAAAATTTCAACCAATAATTTCCATTTTTATCAAATTTTTAATAATGATGTGTCAGTAGATCAAATAAATATTAGAGATATGTCTGGAGTCCAATGAAGTCATTTCATATGAATGTGACAGAAAAATATTAAAAAAAATCGATTTACCACAAAAGAATACTCCTCCATGTTATTCTGCGTTATTCAGATATTTTTGTGATGATATTCATGTATTATTATATTCTGAGAATATTTCTAATATTATAATAATATAATAATACATTAATATTACCAAAATAATATGTGAATAATTGAGGAATATTCTTCTATATTATCAGACCGAATCACAAGAAAATGAGTTTTTTTTTCTTATTAGTCCCATGTAAATATGATTTATTAGATTCCGGATTTATCTCTACTTCTGGAGATCGGTCTCTAGACGTAATAATTTTTCTAGTGTATTGGCTCGATAATTCAAATCAGACTTGCTAGCCAAATGACACATCAGCATAAAAAATTATTCATTAATAAGCCTCTAAATTTCTGAAGGAAATATTATATATGGATTGTTCATAATGCATAATTTTAGAAAAAAAAAAAATTTTTCTTGAAATTTTTTGACAGAATTTTATAGCAATTCACAAATATGTATTTGAAATATCTCAATTTCATGGCCTCTTAAGTGAAAAGTGTAAACTCTCTCATGTTGCACGCTAAATTTAGAAAATATACATTCATTACTCGATGCTAGTATTACTCCTAACTGGAAGAAAGCATATAGTTCGGTAATGTGGCGCTCTGTGATTGGTCGTCTAGACGTGCAATATCTGGATAGAATATTTTCTCCAAACGAGGAGGCTAAGGTTCGAAGAGTGGATGGTGCTACTATGGCATGTGGTTATTTATTACATAAATATCACATAATATTTATGTATTTACATATTTAAGATTCAAATTTTGATATTTATATTCAAACAATTTAGTATAATAAATTTAAATATATCGCTGTACTATTTTTTTAAAAATAATTATTATTATTTTGTTTTTAATTTGATGTAAAGAATGTAAATTATATATTAATAAATATAAATATTTAAATATTAAATATATAAATATATAAATATATAAAATTAAAGGGGGATTTGTCACATACAAAACATCGCACGTAATGGTACAGGAAGTCCATAAGCGAATGCTCTTCTCTTTCTTGTACCCGCAAAGCTTATGTGGGGCCCAACAGAGGATGACGCTAGTTCCAAGGAAAAAATTATTCCTATGTATGGATCGGTCACCGCACGCAGCTTGCGTTAGGTGTCCGATCCGGACCGTAAATCACCTGATTTACGGTCCCGATATATTTCGGTGGGCCCCATCTAAATTAAAAAAACGGAAATAATCATGACCGTAGATCACCGTGATCTACGACCAGAATCGGCACCGTATGCAGAGATGCATGCAGTGTCCGCACGCAATAATTCCAGGATTCTTCTTTGAAATAAAATATGCTAATAAAGTTAATTAAAAAAAATTACATAATTAGCACCCAATTATTATGCATTTACATATCTCCCACCTAAAGCTACAATCCAAATAAAAAAAACAGGGAAGAAAAATAATTATGCGCCACATCTTCTGAAACAGTTTGGTAAATAATCTTAGGCCTCATTTGACAAAACCCACAGCAGATAAAAAGTCTCACATCGGCTGGGTATACGGCCTAAGAGCAATATTTAAGTCCTAGGCTGCCCACATCTCTTAAGAGTTCTTTTGAGAAAAGAGCTCTTTTAGGAGGTGACATACTGCATACTTTGCTATAAGAAAAATATTCCAAAGAATTAATACCCAAACCAAACATTTGTAGAGTGGAATGGATAAAGTCTTAGGCTCTGTTTGGCGCAGCTGCAGCTTCCCAGCTTTTCAGCTGTAGCTGCGCTGCCCTAGGAAGCAGCTGCGAAAACTGATTTTTTTTTTCTTTCAAAAAAAAAGTATATATAACTTTGTTTTGCATAATAAATTTGTTCATTAAGGCATGATAAATAGCATTTCATTGATTAAAATTTGACGAATTTCTTCTCATTGCATGTTAAATTTTGAAAAATTTTCTTAAATACTCGAATATTAAATGAACAAGTTCGAACGAGCCTCAACATTTATTTAAGGCACGTAAACAAATTCGCTAGGATGGTCAATCGAAGCTCGGCATTGAATTATTTAAAATTCAAAATAAATTATAATTAAAAGTCTAATTTAGTTTAGATAAATTATGATCAAAAAATAATTTAAAATTATTTTTTATATTATTCATATTGATAAAGTTGTTGAGAAATTTATACGAATTAAAAAAAAATATTAATTAAATAGATTAAAAATTATTGGGATCATTTGCATTATTGCAAACATACCACCCAATTCTTATGTGGGTAAGGTGATATGTATGTTGAAATTGAAATTTAGGATGTTAGATAAGTAAATATATAGGAATTGAGTGGTGCGGATGCAAATCTTCCAAAAATAAGTTTAAAAATCTACTCCTAATTGAATGGATTTTTCAGTTTTGTTTAAAACCATTTAAAATAAAAATAATTATTTTAATTATTAAGATGAGAAATTTACTATTCATGTACATTACTAACTAATAAATTTGGGTTCTGTTGTATACTTATTCGTGGCATAGTGGTTGAGGGTGTAATCTTTCACCGTGAGGAGATTGTTCGAATCATGCATGTTAAACGAGTTGCAATGACTGCAGGCGGGAAAAGGTGTCGGGAAAGTGATATTTTGCAAAATTTTGGGTGCGAGAGAGAAAATATAACATCGGTCGCCCCTGCCCATATATTTATATGAGTCTTTTGCCTTTGGATTGCTATAAGGAATAGAAATATGGATCATTGTCACAGACTAATAATTGATGAAGAAAGAACTCTCATGGCTGCCAGCATAAGATGTTATTTGTAGAAATCTTTGAGCTAAATGTGGCCACATTGATTTTTTTTTCTTTAAAAGTTCTCTATATGGCATCTTGGACTTCTTGCTTAGTCCCTAGACATCTTCTAAAATAGTTATGATCTTCCACCCATTTTTAGAAGGATTCCACTTATGTGAATCAAGTTGAAGGAGTAAGGTTTTGCCTTCTTTAGAGTATATCATTTAACTTTGTAAGTCATGCACCTTTTATTCTTATTTAAAAAAAAAAATTTGATGTCATTATGAATCATCATAATTATTTTATGCAACATTTGTTCCTCTTTCAGTTGATCCTCTTAATCGAATAATGTCACGAAGAAAAGATAGAAATTTATCTCATCATATAAAATTGAAGTTTTGAATGGATTTAGGGTCCATTTGGGCAAATATTTTTCTGTGCGAAGTCCTGACGCCGTACCTTTACGTGCGGTGAAGGGTATTCCTGAGTTATTTTCAGGTTATTTCTGGGTTATTTTCAATAATCCCGAAATAATCCAGAAATAACCCGCAGTATTTATTTTTGGGTTATTTCTGGGTTATTTCGGGATTATTGAAAATAACCCAGAAATAACCTGAAAATAACTCAGGAATACCCTTCACCGCACGTAAAGGTACGTCAGGTGTCCGGACAGAAAATGCGCGCCCGTTTGGGGAAGCTAATTGATGTGGTGGCGTTTTACAAACCCACCTACCCTGTTTGGGTAAATTGTGTTTTGGCAGCTTTTGCCTTTTCAAAACGCTGAAAACAACGTTTTCACACTGCACTTGTCTAGGTGCAGTGACAGTTTTCTGGCTGCGGTTTAGCTTTTCCAAAAAAATAAACATATATAATAGCTATTATATCTAGCTTATCAGCAAATTATTTTTAATCAGCTTATCAGGAGATCATTCAATAAGCTGCAGCTGCCCCATACACACCCTTAGGCTTTTGACATTCATCTCACATTAGTTATCTAAATAGGTGGGCAATTGTAATCGACGTGCATGATTTTTTTATTTTTTCTGAAAATCTTGAACTATTCATACTTAATTTATTTGATTGTTTAACACTCCTCATTCAACCTATCATTTTTTATATAAAATTAAATATGATCTTCTTATTCTAATATATTCTCTACTAAATGATGACCATTTCATACTTGCAGGTTTTTTGTGGCTTATTGAATTGTTTCTCTATCTTAGAGTTGAATTATTCCTCTCCCTTTAGAAATATCTATGCCTTCTCAAGTATTTCAACCCTACTCTTAGGATCTACCATTGACTTAATAAAAAAAAAACAAATACATAGGAAGTTTAAGGAAGGTATCACTGAAATACTTCAAATGGAGTTATAGAATTGTTTTATTGAAGATAAATTGGATGTTAGTTAGGCTTTCATCTCATATATTCAAATTTTAAGAATTAAAACCTATTGTGGATGTGCAATAATTTTCTTGATAATCTCATAATGATCACTATATAGATGAAAACTTAAATTTAGGGCACCTACCATATTGATTTTCCAAAACTTTTAGGAAAATATAGTTCAAAGCCTATTCAAATATTTATAAAAGTGACAAGATGCATCTTCTCCCGTGGTGCTTTATCTACAAATCATAAGCATTATCATCTTCAATTCAAAAATTTATCAATAACAATAAAAATATAGAAATGAACACCATATTGCATCAGTATACCTCCAATGAATTTCATGAAAAGTTATGTTGGCGCTATTAGTAATGTGTATAATAAATTTTGTCAACTTTAAAGCATCATGTAGAGGTAGAGCATGCATTATCTCAATAATTTGGCTATATCAAACTACATTTTTGGCTACTACATGCAATGCTTTAAGTTATAATCTTTGTCACCACCAAAAGATTTTTGTCTTCCTTTGAAGTGTATGCTTCTTTTGTCCAGTTTATCTGATGGCTAACTTTAAAGATATAATTTCAATTTTTAGAGAGAATCCATCCTTTTGGATTTCTTTAAATAATCTCTATTTTTTATTAAGCTTGTAGATATTAAGATTATTCACATGTTGTATGTCGATCTTGTTATGTCTAAGTTGAATTCATACAATTAAATACGTCATCTACTTTGTATGTCAATCTTGTTCGAGCTTGGACTATTTTTTGTAGCTATTATAAATATGTGATCATTTTAAGCCATTATTTCTTTTTTTAATAGATGAGAACACCAATACGCAACTCCTAAGTGAAATGAATGAAGTTTCTTATCATGTATTGGATAATTCTACAAAGCAACTTTGAGCATCTCAAACTAGTACGGTACTTCATATCCCTCTTTTTGCATTAAAACTACCTTAAATGCTTATTCAAAAGCATAAAGCTCGACTTCAAAAGATCTTTGAAGATTTTAAAAGACAAGTACTAACACTTTAATTAACTTACCCTTATTTTGAGAGCAAGTTAATTTATTTTCTTGTTTCATTTCATGAAAAAAGTTATCACTTTTTCTTTGAAATTACCTT